TTAGAAACAAAGCTGCTTCCAAGTGATAGGTGTTGTTTTCCAAGACACAGTGGCAAGCCAGGAACAGCTTGGGGACTGATCCTCGGCAATTTTTCTGTTTATAGGGAGTTCCCAACTCTAAGGCAATGCTTTCTGATGAATCTGTTTCCTGAGTCCTCTAATAGAAACAGGGTCAGGCAGACATGAAGACACCTGCTTTGCATTGACCTTCTCGTGGCATGATGTGAGGTATCCCATATATGCCTCAAACAAAGCATAAAAGGACCCAATGTCCTGGGGTTCCAATTCTAAATCACCTAGGAGAGCTGGTTAAGGCAGGAACAGCTTATTTGGGATCATGGTTTCAGAGGGCTCAGCCCATGGCCACTTGGATCCCTGCTTTTGAGTTCATTGTGATATAGCAGGAAGATGTGGAGGAGGAAGCTGTTTGTCTCTTGGTGGACAGAAAACAGAAGGACAGTAAAGGGCCAGGGAGAAGATACCCCCAAGGACCTGTCCCTTGATGGCCTATTACTTCCAGCTATGTCCTATCATCTAAAGTTTTCAGAAACTCTCAAAATAGCATCACCAGTTGGTGACCAACACCTGAAGCCCGGTGGGACTCATTCAAATCTTAATAGGACGTCAATAAGGAAAGCCTTCCTGTCTTGGAAAAGGAGGAATGATGAGAAATCTCCCCTCTGCTTCCTGGCGGCATTTTTTTCCCCTCTATGATTAACCGGCTTCTTATATGTAATTCCAGAATCCCCCAATTAAAGGGTGCTTTTGAGGCAACTCTTCGTGAGCTTATTGCTGGAGGTCAGCGCTGGAGGCCGTCTTGGGTGAGATGTGCTTTGGAAGGGAATGGCCAGGCAGCAGGCACACCAAGGAGAAACTTTGTGTTTAGAGAACGCCCGGGCAGGCTGCAGGAGTCATCATGGACGGTTTTTCTTCTTTCTCTATTTTTTAAGCCTCAAAGATGCCCTTGTAAACTGAGGCTTTTCCTTTGCAGTATTATATTTGCCAACTGAGATCTGAGGCTGCTGGCTTCTCTCTCCCCTCCCTGCCTTCAGTTCCACACTTTCTTTAACCTGACTCTCAGCTAAGCTCCATTGTGGAGCAGAGAACTCGTGAAGTCCCGGGAACTTGTGCGCCAGCTGTATCGAGTACTTCTTTGGGATTTTCCTCAGGGTTAGACAAGCAGGTTCTCAAGGTTAGTGGCCCAGACACTCAAGAATCATGCTACCAACACGAAAGGGCTTCGGAACAGATGCAGAAAGGAACTTAGAAAACCATTTGATCCCGGCTGATAAAGACGGCTCCATAGAGATGTGTCAGTACTTTCCTCCCCAAGGTCTGGGCTGGTCTAAGCCAGCTCCAGAAGTTATGGTTTGTAAAGTTATCCGGGAACATCTAGCATTTTCCAAGGCCTCGATTAATGTTTAAAGAAACTCGGCAGTGCAATCAACCGCTGAGCTGAAGTGGGTCTGTATAAAATCATCTTTCCTCTGAAGGACCTTGATCTTTTTATTATATTCCAAATGCCGATGTCTATCTCTTACTGAACACTTACTGTGCATAAGGTTCTTTTCTGTGCATTTCATTTTATTTTTCTAACCTCACTACAAATCCAAAAGGTGTATTTTTTCATTTTACTAGCAAAAAGAAGGCAAACCTCAGAGAGATTGTTACTTGACATTGGCTCGGGTGGGTAAGTGCAGAGTAAAAATCCCAGGAGTCTTTATGTCCCTTAAATGTCTCCTTTAATCACCCAGTTTTGATACATTTCTGGGTACATTTATGTGGAATGTGCGTGTGCTAAGCTTGGGGGTTTTCAATCAGAAAGCAAGAGTTCAAAATCTATCCTTCAAAAATTTCCCATTCCGTCTTTTCTCCTCCCACCATATAATTCAGATCATAAAAGTCTGCACAGGCCACACCAAGCAGTGTTCTGTGATGAGCATATGCAAACATTTACTTGGAAAATGTGGTCGGAAAGTTTCAAAAGGAATAGTTGTTTGGAATTCCAGTTCTCAAGAATCAGCCTTCTGGTCATAAAATTCCAGGCGCTACCACCAGAGGGCAGTCACAACATTAAAAAAACAAAACAAAACAAAAAACATAATAAGAAGATCTGTGTCCCCACCGTCAGACCATCGGGACACACTAAATATGGATTTGGCTTCATAGTTCAGCTCTCATCCTGAGAAGATCTATTTCTTTCAAGTTTGAAATTAACATATCATGCCACATTTAAAGAATATATAGACGCTCAATGGAGCATACGGCACGTTAGAAGCCATTTCTTCATATAGGGATGTTAAAATGGACCAGGGACAGATGCTACATACTGATTTCATTGGAGAAGTATAGACACACTCCACTGAATATTCAGTAGCATAGTCAAAAGCAGCCTCCTCTGTCCAGAAATTTAGAGGTTACTCAGTTACAGACCATCTGGGTTTCACTAAACTCTTCCACCCCCACCCCACCCCAGAATAATAAATAACAGCTAAGAAAAAGGACTGAAGGTGTGTGTGTGTGTGTGTGTGTGTGTGTGTGTGTGTGTGTGTGTGTGTCTCCACGTGTTTGTACATGGGTGTTTGGCTAGGCTGCTGGGGCCAGAAAGCCCTAGCAATTCCCCTGTCTCTACTCCCCACAGTTCTGGGGTTACAAGTACTACAAGTAAAACTACACCTACAGTTTTACATGAGTACTGGGGACCCCAACTCAGGTCCTCCTGTTGCACAGCAGGCACTGTCACCCA